TGTGAGCAATGATATTGTGATCTAATTTTGAGTGTTTCCCTGTGAATAAGAGATCACTGCCAGACTGGGGGTAGAGAAAGCAGGTTGGAAACAATGGCAGGTGTAGGTGAGGGGCAGCAGTACCCTGAAATGAGGTTAAGATGGTGCAGGAGGGTCAGAGGTAGTCAGCTTCAGAATGTGTTCTAAAAGCCTAGCCAGGGGAATCAGCTAATGGATTCGTTGTAGGAATGAGAAAAGGAATGCATTAAGAGCAACTCCATCTGTTTTGATTGAAGTCATTGGGAAAAAAGAAGTTATTTCTTGAGAAAGGGCCACCAGTTAGCAGCAGATATAAGAAGGTAGCCAGACACTGGTGGTTCACACCTGTAATACTAGCCTATTCAGGAGGCTAAGATCTGAGGACCACTGTTCAAAGCCAGCCAGGGCAGGAAAGTCCATGAGACTCTTATCTCCAATAAATGACCAGAAAACCAGAAGTAACTCTGTGGCTCAAGTGGTAGAGCACTAGTCTTGAGCTGAAGAGCTCAGGGACAGTGCCCAGGCCCAGAGTTCAAACCCCACGACCATCCAAAAAAAATGTAGCCTGAGAACTCAGTTGTGAACATGTTCAAGTTGAAATAGTTATTAAATGTTCACATGAGGCTTCTAAGAAGGTCACTACATGCAGTGTCTGTGTCTGAACACAGTGTCCCTCACCAACAGGATTTAGTCCAGTCTGGAAAGTACTATTTTAGAATGGTCCACCTATCGATTATTTTTTTTTAATTCATGAGACTGGAGAAGATGAATTTTTAAAATAAACATGTCCAAGGACTGGCTTCTCAAATGTTTGAGAACATAACAAACTGCAAAAGAATTTTAATAAAAAAATAAACCAAAGTAATGAATAAATAGGGAAGGAGAAAGAACAAAAGAAAACACTCCTTTGTTAAGAAGGATTGTCAGCTACCCCTGAGAATCCACTGATGTGAATGATCATGAATACAAAGTGAAACCTGTGTTTTGGAGAAGAAAAAAATCCAGCTACAAACAGCTGCTGGTATGTAGGCAATGTAGAGAGGGAGAATGAAATTTAATCAGGATCAAGTTTTTTCCAGAAGAGCATGGTTTGGGGGTAAGAAAGCAAGAGTATTTAAAAGAAATTGACTGTAAGATGGACCGTGAATTCTATGCTTCAATAGAAGAGAAGTAAGGACAGGGTGAGTCAGTGAATTGGAAAATTATTAAAGTATTAGCATTATCCCTTTAGGATAATATGATAATGTAGCCCTAACTGTATCATTAGCAATCATTAATGGATTCAATGGCTGAGTGGGAAGTGCAGGTACTAAAGAATGGTAAATGAACAGAGCACTGGAAGATAATACAGAAGTCTAATAATTACAATTACAGTGCCTTAAACTTATATGATCTTCTCATGTTTAATAAATCACTTTCCAAAATATTTTCTCATTTTACATTCTCAAATATATCATGGTCAGATTGCTTAGCTTTATCAAAGTCTCATAAGAATCCTAGAAATCTTAAATGAACCTAGTTTTAATAAGCCTACCTCCTAACTTGAAGAATATTCTAAATGTCTAGTTATTTGCTGGCATAAATTTATAATAGAGTGTGTTTGGCTAGGTAAGCTTTCTTATATAATTATTTAACTTTGACTATCAACGACCCACAAAGACAAAGTTAATGTAGGTCAGGGGCAGTGTTTCAGGTTTCATACTTGTAGGTACTTGGGAGGCAGAGATCAGGGAATTGTTTGAAGCCAATGCGGGGGGAGGGAAGAAAAGTTCTGGAAACTCCACCTCTATTGATGACTGGATGTAGTGGCACATACTTGTCATCCCAGTAACACAGGAAAGCAGACAGGAGGATTCCACTGAAGACCAGCTTGGGCTAAAGAAGACCCTATCTCAAAAAGAAACAATACAAAAATGGGTTAGTGGATTGACTGAAATGGTAGAGTTCCTGCCTAGCAAGGCCCTGAGTTCTCACCCAGCGTTGCCAATACAATTTTTAAAAAATCAAACAGATTATTGTCATCACATAAATCTGTACTTGTCATTAAATTCAAATCGGAGATAATGCTGTTACATTGGATATTAGGATAGTGGTTCATGGGACTGATCTCAAAATGTTATACTTGGATTACTTCTTCCTTCCTTCATTCCTCTGTTCTTCTCTCCTTCTCCCTTCCTTCCTTCCTTTCTTCCTTTGTTCTTTTCTTTTTTCTTGTTTCTCTGCCCCTGGGTAGTAGTGGAGATTAAGCCTAGGTCTTTGGGAGTGCTAGGCAAACGTGCGAGCTACATTCACAGCCCCAAACTTTAATGGTTTTCAGACTATTTTTCTTGGATAATACTTGGTCAACTAGTAGCTAAATGAGTAGTTTTGGCTTTTGAACAAATCCTGTAATGCCCCTGAAATCACCACAAAAAGAACTATATGACAAAATTTCTCCAACCTTTGCTCCACTAGCTTCCTGCCTTTTTATTCTTTTCAGGAGAATTGCTAATTACGTCTTCCCTTGCAAGGAGAGGGGCCTGGAGCAAAAAAAGCTAATACCAGCACAATACATAAATAAAAAATACATAAATAATGATAACTATAACATAAAATAAATCTACCTACCTGCTTCTGTGTATATTTCTGAAGGCCATTTTACCTATTTCCCTCAAGTGGAAATGAGTGCCTCCTCTGCCTAGATTTTTATTTATTTATTTATTTAACGTGTTAATGGGTGCTACTTTGTTTTCTAGTTACCAAAGCACATTTGCCTAACTCAATAGTCAAGCTTCTACAGAGCTCCAGAAAGTGCCTCAGATGAAGTTTTGTACATAGGAGGTGCTTTGGGGAAAGCTGGTTTCATGAAATTAGGTACATGGGGTCTGTTGCCCTTTTCAAAGGAATTCCAGGCAGCTCTGAGCAGTCCTTGGGAAAACAAGCAGGTTTAGAAACTTGCAACCACTGTTTCTAGAAAGTTTCATCTAGATTTTCTCTTTTGCAAACTCTGAAGCCAGGAAAGTTCTAGAAAGAAGATTTTGTGGGAAGAGACAGGTGGTGCGTGTACACACAAGGTGCAACTCAGATCTAGTTGATTTTGAAATGTGTATTTTTGTCCAAAGAAATTGACTTAGAGAATCTGTCACTTGATTATTATTGATGGCGCTCTTATTATCTTTTCTTGGCATCCTTTAACTATTGAGTTGATTTCTCTTACTCCATGTGGAAGTTCCAAAGTCTCCGCCCCAAACACTCCTTTCCTCTCTGGCTCCACCCTTCCCTCATCTCTAGCCCCTCTTCCTACCCATATATTTACATACAGCTGATCTCAGGAAAGGAAATGGGTTGGCTTCAGGATCTTCTGCTTCTTCTTGTGTCTTCTTGAATCAACTGAGTCCAGCAAGCTACTGATCCAAATCCAAGGTATCTTCTATTTTTCACTGTCCCAGTGTCCTCCATTTTTAGCCAAATCAAATCTCATTCCATCAGGATCACATCAATCTGTTGGAGTAGCCAACTCTCTAACAAATAAATCTGCATTTTTCTAACAAGTGGTAGCATGTTAGCGAAAACAATTGTTTTAGAGCTAGTTATCTTATTTTACCTTGCTTGATAACACTCATTTTTATTCTCAGTGAAATATAATCTCTCTACAATGTTACACAGTCTAAAGAGTAAATCAGCATTTAGCAAAGTTTTTCCCACATAACAGATTGACTCTATAAAATATAAATTGAATGAATGAATGAATGAATGAAGAATGAGGTTGAAGAGTGACTGTGTTTGGCCTCCTGGTGAGATACAAGTTAGATGTTAACCAAAAGTTATAGGTTAACACAAAAACTATGGATAAACACAGTTTTCAGAGTCATGCTTTCTCTTCTATATGTAAGAAGACCCACCTCATTATCCCTCTTTTTTTTCTACTTAACAGATATTTAACAAATATTTAAATAAATATTGTACCAAAAGAGGCATTGATTTTATTATTTCTTTGGAAAAGATTGAGCCACATTAATACCTTTTGACTTTGGTTGAGACATAAGACAGATATGTAGTACCCCTCCCCCACTCCACCCCTTCCAACTCCTCTCTTCGTCCATCTTCACATTTCCTTTCTAGTTCTTGCCATCATCACTCCCAAAACTCAGAGGCAGCTCCAACATTTTAAAGAAAGGAAGGAAGAGAAATCTGTCAGTTATTAGTGATCTGCCTTTTGGGTTGTTTTGTATTTTGTTTTGTTTTGTTTTCAGTAGCAGACTTAGCATGACACTTGAAAGAAAGGGAAATCTTAAAAATTGTTTTTTTTTTCATATGAATAATCTCTCCCCAGTTGTGTGTGTGTGTGTGTGTGTGTGTGTGTGTGTGTGTGTGTGTGTGTGTGTTCTCTTACCCATAACCATGCACCTTTGGCCTGAAGAGAGAAATATGTAAGAAAGTCATCTTCTCTAAGCATCAGGGAAAAGCAACGTATTATAGGGTTGTTTCAGTCCCTACTAAATTGGCCATGATTTCAATGAAACCCTGTTAGTGCCTTAACCTAAACTATAGTGAGACAAGGAAGCCATGGAAAACAGCAGCTTCAGACACTTGCTGCTCACATGTGTCTCTCCTTTTTTTTTTTTTTTAGAAAAAGAAAAGACTGCAGATATGAAGGGTGTATGGGGGATCCAATACAACTTCCATGTGCAAAACTTAGACTTTTGCATCAGTGGAAACCAAGCCTTCTCAAATTTTAAAAGGTGTACACCTGCCAATGCTTCTGTTCATCTTGTCTGCCAAGAATTACCAATCTTCAGTCATGCTCCCAATGTCCGACCTTTCTATCCTGCTTGAAACAGATGCTACTTCCATGCCCAGTCACAACCACCTGTTGTCGCCATGTGTCAATGTTGATTCCATCCCACCATCTTTTCTCCATCCCTCATTTAGCCCAAGCATGTAGTGTGCTGTTACTCTGCTGCTGTATACACTCTGTATACATCTCTGTTCTTCCTTGCAAGACTGTGAATGCTTCGGCCACTCCAATCGATGCAGTTATATCGATCTGCTCAATACAGTCATTTGCGTGAGCTGTAAACACAACACTAGAGGGCAGCACTGTGAGTTATGCAGGCTGGGCTACTTCAGAAATGCTTCTGCACAGCTGGACGATGAGAATGTGTGCATAGGTCAGTTCCATTATAATTTCGGCTTTTGTTTTCTGCTTTTCCAAGCTATGGGGAGCTAATATTTAGATTGGGAAGACTGGTGATTTGCACCACAGCTGAGCCAGAATGAACTTTCTCAATGAAGCAGAAATCTGTGATAAATTAAAATTTTACTTGTGCTGAATGAAATCATACTTGGGGGCTCTATTTTTAATCATTTTTATGTTGCTATGGGTTTAAAGAGAATGAGCTGAGAAATCATGCCTGGGAAATGAAGAGTTTTCTTTCTTCTTTTCTTTATGTGCATGAAGTCTTTAAACCTGGTCATGTTGACCTGTTTCTATGTTCTGAAATTGTATGATCAATCTTCAAAATGGAAATTCATTATACAGGATTTAATTATAGATAGGACCTATTGAAGCAGAAAATCTTGCATATCATTCATGATCAACAAGGACTGATGGATTTAAAATGTCACTATTAGAAGCTGGGAGTTGGTGGCTTAAGCCAGTAATCCTAGCTACTCAGGAGGGTAAGATCTGAGGACTGATCTTGAAGCCAGGTAGTGTAGATAAATCTGAGATACTCTTATCTCCAATTAACTAGCAAGTAAAAAGCCAGAAGGAGAAGTGTGGCCCAAGTGGTATAATGCCAGTCCTGAGCAGAAAAAAAGTTAATTAAGAGCTGGAGGCCCTGAATTCAAGCCCCAGTACTGGCAAACAAAAAGAAAAGTTATTATTGGAACTGAAAGCTTTAACAACTGGTAATGGAGGATTTGGGCTAACTTTTCTACCCTAGGAATGAAATTCCATTTATTGAATTTTTCCATAGACCCTTAAAGAAAGAATCTTTTCCCAAAATTATTCCAGGCAATAAATTCTCTTAGCTTTCAGATTGAATAAGTGCTCAAAACAGCATCTTTACAGTTTGAGTGCTACCATGCCCTCCCCCACAGCTGACCCTACCACCTGAAGAGCAGGTGCCCTTCCTCATTCAGAGAAACTCCTCCTACCTTTTGTATAGTGGAGCTTGTCTGTTAGAAAAGGAGGCTGGCTAGGTGCTAATGACTTCAACCTGTAACCCTAACTACTCAGAGGGCTATATATGAGGAGTGGAGTACAAAGCCAACGAGACAGGAAAGTCTGTGAGACTCTTATCTCCAATTAACCACCGAAAGTAAGTAAGAGATAGATAGATAGATAGACAGACAGACAGACAGACAGATAACCCAGAGGTGAAGTTATTATTTAAGATGTAGAGTGTGAGCCTTGAGTAGAAAAACTAAGAGACAGAACCCAGGCCCTGAGTTCAAGCCCCAATACTGACACAAGAATTTGTTTTTTGGTTTTTTTTTTTCAAAAAAAGGAGGCTGATGGAAAAAGAAGAAACAATAAATGGAATTTCACTCTATACTAAGTTATATTGTGCAGAATACTGTGAAAATGTATATATATATATATATATATGAAATATTGTATCTGTTATCAGACTGATAGTTAACTATCTGGTCAATTTTGAAGGTAGAATTTTTCATGTAGAATCTGAATTAAACAAAATATGGAAGAAGGAAAATGACAGGGATGAAAGAGGATAAAAAGAAAGAAGTAAAAAGGGGGGAACCCAATTCTGTCTAAGATCATTGCTTTTTGATTGGGTTGTTAAAGTCAAATAGATTCTTGCTGTGTTACATGGAATAGCTGTATGGTTGTTTTGGAATTTAATTGGGCCAAGTATACATAAAATTGTTTATATCTACAGTGGTTTCTATTTTGCAAAGTACTTCCTTGTTTACCATTTGTGAATTAGTAGAGGAAGTACTGGACTTAAAGCCTGGAGAGTCTGGTTCCGATCCAGTGCATATTTGATGGCTGTGTGCCTTAGGTAAGTCCTTTGAATCTCAGGATCTGATTTGTCAGGATCAGATGGGATGGATAGGACACTTTGTGAGTGGACTTGTAATTTTTTTAAACTTAATACTCATTAGCAAAATAGTAGGGTAAGTATTATACTAATAATGTTCCTTCTATTCTACTAGAGAAAAAAAGGCAAATTGACCCAAATCATATAGTTTTAGCAATGGACATTTTGACTTCAAAAATTGAATACTCCTCTAACTATTCTGTCATAATTAGCACAGCTAAGCATGTCAGATTTTACTTTAACATGCCTTTTACTGTGCTTTTTGGATGACAGTAGCAATTTCACTGTGAGTTTATAAGCAGAAGTTCAATTGCTTTCATTATACCTAGGTTACAAAGACTCGAGTATTAATAAAACTAATGCCTTAAAAAAAAAGAAAGACATGAATGCCACACTACTAACATGGAACAAACAGAAAAGGTAAAATAAAAAGAGCACAAGAATAAAATCTAATCATACATCACACAACACATAAAATTAAAGTGTTTCACGATTTTAACAATTTAAATAAATCAGGAAGGCCTGAAGGGCAAAGAGTCAAGGACAAGATTAAATGTCAAATTTAACAGGATCCACCACACACAACTGAGAGTTAAATTTAATTCCATTCTGTCTAGAAAGCACTAATGAAAATGAATAGATATTTACATAATTCACTTTCAAGGAATCAGGCTAGTTGTGGAAACTTTGAATTTCCCCTACAAATTCTCTAAATTAAAACTTTCTTTACAAATTCTCTAAATTAAAACTTTCTTAAGGTGCTTTTCCATTTTTTTGCATTTTTTAATTTAATTTTATTGTCAAGATGATATACAGAGGGGTTCCAATCCAATTTATTACTGGCTATGAAGGAACAGCTCCTACCTCTGTTTCCCTTAGATATTTTGGAGTAGTTATATAATTTTATATTGCAGCAAATACAAAATGCAGCTGGCTCCTCCTTGTTGCCACAGTGATGCTCCTTTGTAATTACTGATGAATTTACCTATTTTTCATATATAAATTCCCAGTCCAGCCATGTCTCCAAAGAGGCATGTAATTATCCTGTGATGACACAACAATTACATGAAGATGACATCCTCACATGCTTCTGTTTCATATAAACTTGAGCATTAGGCAGGAAGCTAGAGGATACATGGTTCATGACCTTGGGTAATCATTATTAATAATGCCTCCCAACAAGCTCTGCATTAGAATAAAACACAGGGCTCAGCAGTTGCTGAGCCTCGAAGTTAGGATGTATTTATTTATAATTCTCCTTGAAACCAAGATCAGGTAATCAGAGGTACCTTATATAGAACAAAGCAAACACAATGCAATCTTAATCTCTATAAATCAGTTGTAGTACAACTTTTTAATCAAGCTGCCGAAAGTATTTCGGGTTGTTTTGCAATTCCACAATCCTGCATATTTGTTTATCGTTTCATGGAATAAAAAAAAATATGATTCTCCAAGGCCATTTTCACTACTGCGACATCCATCCTTGAATATGGCTCCTTAACTGAAAATCTGAATTATTTGTACAAGCAGTGGAGAATAAAATCATAGCTCTCCTTGTCTTTTTATAAAGTCATGGAATAACATTACATTTAGCCTCTTACCCTGGCACTTACAATGTGTTCAGTGTCCTATTGTTTGGGTTTTGCTTTCCTTTATTTACATTTTTTCATCTAAAATCTTATATTAATTATTTTGGAGTACTTAACTAGAATAGCATGTGAGTTCATGCTGGCCAGATGTAACTTTGCTAACTGGCTTACAAAATATTAGTGATGTAATATTTTCATTAGCATATACAAAGAAGCTTCATTATGATATTTGCAACATGCATATCATGTACTTTGATCAAATGCACTTCACAACAAGAAATATATTACAGTCTTGATAAAAGAATAGACTTACACATATGCACAGACATTGAAAGCCAAACACTTTATTGTTTTTAAATATTCTTTTAAATTGCTCTCACATATACAATATTGGTAGAATAAAACTTATTACTTTAAAGAAAGCCCAGTTATTAAGGGTAAACCAAACTAGATTTGCAAGAAAGGGGCATTTTAGGGATCATTTAACTTTATTTTTATCTACATTTTTCACTATTATAAATATTTTGTTTCATCTGACAAGAGTAGCTCATGCCTGAAATATTAGCTACTTAGGAAGCTGTTTTCTGAGGACAGAGGTTGGATCAAAGTTTGAAGGGACAAAAGGCTGTGAGACTCACACCTCTAGATAACCTCCAAAAAAAAGCAGAAATAAAGAACACCTGCCTTGAGAGAAAAGCACCCAGACCCTAAATGCATGCTGCAAGGAAAGCACAATTAATTAATTAATTAATTTTAAAATAAATGTTTATTTTATTAAGAATTCTGAATTCGCCGGGCGCTGGTAGCTCACGCCTGTAATCCTAGCAACTCAGGAGGCTGAGATTTGAGGATCGAGGTTCAAAGCCAGCCCGGGCAGGAGAGACCGTGAGACTCCTATCTCCAATAAACCACCAGAAAACAGGAAGTGGCGCTGTAGCTCAAGTGGTAGAGCGCTCG